TTCTTTAGTAAGGAAATGATTCATTTAGAAAGAACCTAGAGAATTCAAGCAAGATGTTCACAACAGTGCAGAGGAATGTTAGTGCTTCCTTCAGCCAAAAGAAAAGATATTCAAGGAGGGAATTTAATTAATTGTTCAGGGAATTTCTTCCAAGATGGTTCTGCATACCTGTCAAATCACTGTGGGGCAGGCAGGTCTCTCAGCCAGCATCTCACAGTGATTCTACACTACCACCCTACTCACACCATTCTAACTGCTGCATTGAACCCCTCTATGAACTCCCCTCTTCTTTCCATTTTTTTTTACTATACCACTAAGCACAGCGTGCCCTACAAGGATCTCTGAGAAAGTAGCACTATTTCCTTCAATCAATGTTTAGTTATTTTAGAGGTGGATATGATGTCTTGGGCATCTCCTTCACTCCTCCTCTGCTCTTCACATAGACCCTGTATAGACTCTGGGCACATTTGCTAATTGCCCCATCAAGATGAAGACTGAGGGCAGAAACAGTTCATTTGCTGAGTGATCCCTTCATGTTGTCATTTCCTTTCCCTGAATGTTAGTTTTTCAGCAGCATACACAGAGCCAGGCTTCAGGGTCAGATGGCTCCACTTTCTTAGCCCAACTCTACTGCTTACCAGCTTTATCACGTTGAGGAAACTACTCCCTCTGAGCCCGAGCCTCAGTTTTGCACATGGGGAGTAGGCAGACATTGGTTTTCACCTTTTTTTTTTTTTTAAAGAAACAGGGTCTAATTCTGTCACCCAGGCTGGAGTGTAGTGATATGATCATAGCTCACGGCAGCCTCGAATTCTTGGGTTCAAGTCCTTCTGCTTCAGCCTCCCAAGTAGCTAGGACTATAATCATGTGCCACTATGCCCGGGTAATTTTTAAATTTTTGTATGTTGACCAGGCTGGTCTCAAATTCCAAGTGATCCTCCTGCCTTGGCCTCCCAAAGCACTGGCATTACAGGTGTGATCCACTGTGACTGGCTGACATTGTTTAACACAGGAACCATCCAACAGATGCTGGGCTTCTTGCCCAGTTTTCTTCCCCTCTTCTTTAGGATGCTTAGAGATAATTATGAAGGATGTGTCAGCCACAAATCACAACCATATCAAAGGCACTCATTAGCTAAGTGAGAAGTTAATTATACTTAATCCTTTTCCTCTTTACTTAGTGTACTTAGGATAGATTGTAAATCTCATATCAATTAAAACAGATGTTCCATAAGTTTAAACAGCACTAAATTGCAACAATCTCCCATCTGTTTATTTAGTCATTAACAAGTTAAATACAGTGTATTTAACCCAATTATTTTCTCCATATTTTTCTCATCTTTTTGTTTTCTCTCCTTGATTCTTGTTTTCCTTTTTGGAGACAGAGTCTTGCTGTGTCACCCCACCCTGGCTGGGGTATAGTGACAATATCATAGCTCACTGCATCCTTCAACTCCTGGGCTCAAGCAATTCTCCTGCCTTAGCCTCCAAAGTAGCGGGGACTACAGGAAGACTCTACCACATCTGGATAATTTTTCTTTTTCATTTTTTTTTTTCTTTAGACAGTCTCACTTTGTTGTCCTCAGTAGAATATCATGGCATCATAGCTCATAAGAACCTCAAATTCTTGGGGTCAAGTCATCCTCTTGCTTCAGCCTCCCAAGTAGCTGGGACTACAGGTGCCTGCCATTATTTTACCTGGCTAGTTTTTAGAGACAGGGTCTCACTCTTTCTCAGGCTGGTCTTGAACTCCTGAACTCAAACAATCCACCTACCTTGGCTCCCAGAGAGAGATGTGTGCTCTCTCTTGTTCAGGCTGATCTCAAACTCCTGAGCTCAAGCCATCTTCCCACCTCGGCCTCCCTGAGTTCTCAATTCTTAATGATCATCTCTGGTGCCCTCTTTTCCTGCTTTCATACCTGGCCTTTTGTGCCTCTCAGCCAGTTTTTTTCTCTTCCTTTCTTTTTCTTCTGCATAAGTCATGGCACCTTCAAGATAGCTGGTTTCTCTGGCAGAGGCCTGATGGGCTGGATAGGTCAGGAAATCAGTTACTTGAAATTTCCCAGTAGTACATAGATTATTTTATGCTCCCTGTCAGCTCTTAACAGAGGCCAAATCTCCGAGAATTAATTGAAAAGGTTGACATAGGGGGTTGTGAAAGGCTCAGTGTGGGTGATGTGAAACCGTAGCCATAGTTGCTTGTCTTCAACTAAAAAGATTCCACTGTAACTGAGAGATCTAAGCTGAATTAAAGATGTTGAGGATGTCGCTAAGGGTGGCTCAAGGATAATCTGTATCAGAATGGCTTTGGGTTCTTCTAAAGCAAATTCCCTGGCCCCAGTGCAAGAATTGTGATTTAAGAATTGTAAATAAAGGTCTCTGATGATTCTTCTGCACAAAGTGAGCAGAGATAACTTGATCTTGGCACTTTCACCTTCTGGGAGAATACACCTGGCATAAGGTCTGCTTTGCAAAGTCTCTTCATGTTGATTTTCTCATCTGAACCTCAGAATAACTTTCTGAAATAAATAAGAGTGGTACTGTTTCCCCCAGAAAGTTGCTTTATATTTTAGTTTCCCTGTGCTGCTGGCCCAAAAGCAGGAACCAACTGTGACTTCAGGCTGAAGTGGCTCAGCTCAGGGTGCCAGGTGACCAATGAAAGACATTGTCGAAATTGGAATGAGTCTCTGAATTCTGAACATGAAACCGATGTTAGTGCACACCCTTCAATTGAGGGCTTAGAGTACATTTGACCTTGAAGATGTGAGGGGTCCCTCCAGCAAGGAAGAGAAAAGATAATAAGGAAGACTGAGTTATAGCTGTCTGTGTTTAACGCTGAGCCTTCCTGAGTTGAAGATTTGTGTATATTTTACAGAGCGGATAGTCAGTAAGATCAAAGCATTTTCTCTAAGTCCAAGCCAGATCCACAGCTCCTGCCCTCTACAAATGGTTGTTGACTTCTGAGCTGGGTGGTTTGCAGAGCAAGGTCAGCGATACTGCAGTTATAATGAGGTCAAATGAATTTATAAAACAAGTGTAGAGAGTTTGTATTGGCACTGGAGAGTCTGGGGAAGGCTCCCAGTGAGAAGGGACTCAGGAAAGCACAGCAGGCTCCAGGCTCCGTGCAGCTCCAATCAGTAAGGGGAAGGGCTAGAGAAGTGTGGTTCTTCTTGGTCCAACCCAGGATCTTGTTCCTCCCCTGCAGGGCCAAATCTAAATGCCTGGCTTGATCTATGTTAGTCAGAATGGCATGTGGACATGTTTTCCAGCCAGTAGGGCCTCATGGGCTGTGGTTTAGACCTTTTCATCATATTAAATTAAAAAGGAAACAGCACTAGCTTTCATATACATAATCTTATTATGGTATTGTCTTTGCAGCCTCCTGACAAGAATCATGCCTTCTTAGGATGGTCTTAAAGAGAGTCACTGCTTATGCTTGTTCATTATATAAAGAATTAATATTTTACTTGACGTTGTACACAAAGTCTTACTCAGAAAAATAATGCTTTGTCAAATTTTCATAACATAAAGGTGACTTAAAAACAGAGAAGAAACTAGAATATAAAACATTTTCCTCACTTGTTTAAGTCATTGGCAGCATTTTCAATTTGGGGTAAGACTGAGAAACGCTCAAAGCGAAAATTTCTGAGACTCTCAGCATGGGAGGCAGTTGGAACCCAGAGACCAGTTGCCTTTAACCACAAACCCTTTTCTAGGGCGACTGCAGATCTCCTGAGCATGCAGTAAATTATGGTCATTTTCTCTAGGTGCCATGACATGAAAAAGATTGGCATGTATGGTCCAAAGATAGTGAACTTACCAGTGTATTCTCTTCATCCTAGCTGTACCCCAAATGATGCTGCTGTTTATCAAATCTCAGCTAAGAACTGTTTTGGGATGATCTGCTGCTCTGCTTCTGTTGAGGTTAAGGTGTCAGAGCACTCACAACTGTCTCCTGTCTTGGAAGATGACAGGGACACAGGTTGGAAACACGAAACAGGCTGGACATATGAAGAAGAAAGTGCAAATCAACTTGATGAGAAAGAAAGTCCTCACAAGGAAACGGAAAGCACTTTCCTGGCCACTCCCACAGCAGCTGGCTCCTCCCCCACCAAATCCATCCATTCCCGTTCAACCCAGTTATTGGCCGATAATGACATTCGGGCATCCAGTTCTGACAATCCTTTGGATGTTGAAAGAACAAAGCAAACTGAAGAGGCTCATGACCCAGGTAACACAGAAGAAATTGCAGACGGATTGCTCTTCCTTAAGTCAAATAATACTCCCCCAAACCAAGATGTATGTGGCCCCGGGACAGTGAATTCCCAGCTATCCAGGTTCATGGATGATAGCCTGAGCAATGACGGCCCTAATGATGAAGTATTAAACGCTAATCATCAAAATCCAAAAGTACAGAAATACATTAGCCTCAGCCTCCCGCTGTCTGAGGCAACTGCACACATTTACCCAGGTGACGGTGCCACGGTCAACAAACAACACGGCCCACAGGTTTCCAGTGAAGACTCTGACAGTGACTATGAACTTTGCCCAGAGATAACCCTAACCTACACCGAGGAGTTTTCAGATGATGACCTGGAGTATCTGGAATGTTCCGACGTTATGACAGATTACTCTAATGCAGTTTGGCAAAGGAACCTGCAGGGGACTGAGCATGTTTTTTTATTAGAAAGCGATGCCGAGGAGATGGAATCCAGCGAGTGTTGCCTGGGTGGGTGTGAGCATCTCCTCAGTGGAATGGGTTGTGGGCCTCGGGTGTCGGGTGACATCAGGCCTATGGATGCCACCAGTGGCTTCTGTGGTTATCACTCACAACCCCAACAAGTGGGGGTGAGGAGGGGCAGAGCCTCCACACTCAGTCCCACATTCCCACAAACAGAGATGACTCTCACGTTGGGACCTCACCAGGATGGGACATCGGTGGTGACCGAACAGGGGAGATATAAACTCCCCACTGCTTCTGAGGCTGCTGAAAATGATTATCCAGGCATTCAAGGAGAAAACAGAGACAGACCCCAAACAAGAGAGGAATTCTCCAGTGACAATCAACTGAACATGGATGAAGCAGTGGCAGAGACGGAGACGAAGCCCTTGTCTAGTGAGTTAGAAAAATCGGGGATGAACCAATGCTCAGAGACCACGGCTGAGAAAAGAGGAGAGGAAAAGGAAGTATGGAGCAAAAGGGGCTCACAGAAACCCGCCAGGGTGAGGCGACTGGGCATTAAAGGAAAAGCCAAGAAGCTGAGCCCCAGCCTGAAAGAAAGGGCAGCAGACGGCTCCCTTCCGCCCTGCTGTCCCAGAGAACCTGCTAAGCGCCCACTAACCCGGACAGATGAAAGAGGCATTTCTCACGGCAGAGCAGAAGCTACTGATTGGAATTCCCACTTCCCTGCTGGAGGATGTGCTATTTCAAACCACACAGAGCAGGAAGCAAACCCCCTTCAAACTCCAACAGACTCAGTCCCCAAAGAAGGGAATGCACATTTCGAGGGAGAAGGAATGTGGGTTAATAATCTATTTGAAACAAGCCAAGTTCCAGACCTCACTGATCATCCTCAGGTAAGGTTTCCTTGTTTAAAAATTATAAAACAACGGGGTCTGTGTGTGTCTCTTCCTTCACTTCATGTTCACAATGGCTATGTTATAATGTAAACCAAAATAAGTCTCTCGATACCATCAGGGTACTTGTGCATGACAGCTGCTGCCGCTAGGAAGGAAATCTGGTTTTGAAAAAAGGCCCAGATAAACCCTAAGCCATCCTAATTATAGCAAAAGACTGATAGAAGAAAGAGGCACTAATGGGATTGCGGACAGCTGGAAAAAGAAATCTGATATTTTGTCTACCGCATGTGTTTTACTAGGCAATGTCACTATTCAGAAGTTTCTCAAATGTTTTTTTTGGGGGGGGGGGTGTAGTCTTTAAAGGAAAATACAATTCTTTCTAGTTGTTTGGGCTGGAGTACTTTCAAACTGGTAGGTTTGGGCTTTAATCAGAATGTGTTGTACAAATGAAAGATTTCAGCGTGTCTCAAAGACTTGTAGAATTGACACGGTGATGCTGGAGAAAGCAGGCGAAGTAGAATTTGCTCTGATGGTGGGATTTTTTTTTTTTTTCAGTTTTTGGCCGGGGCTGGGTTTGAACCTGCTACCTCTGGCATATGGGGCTGGTGCCCTACTCCTTTGAGCCACAGGCACTGCCTGATGGTGGGATATTTTTGATTGTGTTTTTTTTTTAATTTTGTTTTTCAAAAAACCCACAGAAGTATAAAGGAGGCTAAGAAAATACAGCAAGGAAATAAATTTGTTTTCCCTTACCACGGATTTGGCGGTGTAAAGAAATAGAATTAAATTCATGGGAATAATTAATGTACAAAGGATGTTGTGGTTGATATATGACTTATGTTTTTAATTTTATTTTTAATTTTAAAGGGTCTTAAATGGGCTTTAGATGGATGCTATGCCATGGCCAAGATTTGATTTTTGTAAATAAAAATCTAAGAAAAGTTATTTATCAATTATTTTTACTATACTTTGTGTTCCCTTTTTTGCAACAGAAACCTAATTATTCTTTTTAGGGACTAAGTAAACTCCAAAGAAAATCAAATATTCCCAAATGAAACATTATTTGACTGTCTCTATGAAAATATAAAATATTGATACGTTGATTTCTAAAGACCCAGTTATAAAATAGCCAATCAGAAAATGTCCAGACTTGAGGTAACGTTTGACTAAGCAAATTGTCTGGTTCTCCTAGCTGCACTAGCCAGATTAAAACCACACTTATACCTTAATTTTTGCAGGTGAGCCAGCTTTATCCTACTGATTCTTTAGCAAACATACAGCTTAGCAGTACGTGACCACAGATTCATGCCCAAGATAAGTCTATGAAGTTGGTTTGGTAAATGTTAACACAAAATAAAGTGATAATGTTCTTTTTTTATGTCAATAAATATGGCATTTCCTTTTCTATTCATAAAATGCTCCTTCTTGCTCAGCTAAGTGCCTTTTTACAGTCATTTAAGAGACCTTTCATTGGGGAACTTGCTTTTATTATTAAAGATTGGAGGAGGTGATAAGGTGTAAAGGAAGGTAGCTATTTATTGACAATATTGGTTTTAGATCCCCCCTGCAAGAGGCAGTTTCTACTTCCCTCAACTACCAAAAATTTCAAAGAGCTGCAGGGAGGAGCCCTCTTCGTCACCAGCAGCTTGTACCTTTTTTTTTTTTTTCCCTTGAGACTCACTCTGTTGCCCAGGCTAGAGTGCCATGGTGTCAGCCTAGCTCACAGCAACCTCAAAGTCCTGGGTTCAATCAATTCTCCTGCCTCAGCCTCCCACAGCTGGGACTACAGTGCCTGCCAGGATGCCTGGATAATTTTTTATTTTTAGTAGAGATGAGGTCTTGCTCTTGCTCAGGCTGGTCTCGAACTCCTGAGCTCAAGTGATCCTCCCACCTTAGCCTCCCAGAGTGCTAGGATTACAGGGGTGAGCCACTATGCTCAGCCCATAGCTTGTACCTTAAACTCAATTCTGAGGTCAAAAGCCCTGGTGACCATCTATTAGCTGGCAATGCAGCTCAGTAAAATGGACCAGCTCTGACCAAGGTTGTCTGTCCTAGTGAAGTTCTTATGGAATTCTTTGGCCTACACACACATTTGTGTCCACATACCTACCCTGCCAGCTATCACCTCAAGGTCCTACCTGTGCTTTGTGATGTGACCACACTGCTGTTCAGAAGAGCTTGCATTTTCTGCAGTACCTTCTGGCAGTACCTTTTCTCACCTTGCAGTGGTCAGTAGCAGAACTGACCTCTCACTCAAGGGACAACCAGGAACTTGAATGAAAACTGTAGAGTTAAGAGCTGCACTGTGCAGCCTGAAGTTAGAATTAGGATCTTTGTAAGTATGCCTTTTATTTTCCTTTGACTAAAGCAGGAGAATTTTGCCACAGGGACTGGCATATTTGAAAACACAGATTCTTTTTCCCATGCAAAAAGTCTTTATTTAATTGTAGATGTCCATATTTCTCACATACATAATAAAATATAGCCAAATTTACAGAAAAGGTCTAACTATCATTGCAAATGTGACACAGAGCATAGGGAGTCAGTGGGAGCTAAATGAAACTTTTTTATAATACTGTTAAAAAAAAGATGGGTGAATCTTTCCATAACTAAGTCAAAATACATTTTAAATATTTATTCTCAGGCACCTGGGGCTATGGGAACCTAAAAGTTCAAAATGATTAAAAATCCTGGGTTGGGGGTAATGTTAATAAATTTTCCCACTCTTGAATCTTGCCTGGTTCACTTACCTTTAGGTGTCTTTTTGTAGAAACAGTGATCAGCAACTTATCTCTTAGTGTTTTATCTTCATCTGCATATGGCTTTTAGCAGTCTGAGAAAAAGTCCTTATCTCAAACTTTCTAAAACCAAGACTATATCTCCTGCTTAAAGATGTATCTCCAGGTGTGTTCATTTTCTGCTTTTCTTTCTCTTTTACAGTGCAAGGCCATCTTGTTATGACTTGTCTTGAAATAGTACTGACCCAGGCTAGTATTGGAAAGCGCCCAGTTTCTCTACATTTATGGAAGATTCTAAAGTTAATCCCAGTTTGGGAATGGAAAAATAGAGAGGGTACCCCAGGCTAACTTGAATCATCTTCAAGAGTCACATCGCCTTGGGTTTTGGAGCTCACTTTTCTGATCCAGCTCAGAGGCACAGTCTGACAATCTGCCTGTCTTAAGTTTCCCTGCAGCCACACTGTAAGATCGTCCTCACCCTTAAATCAGAAGTGCCATGTCTCTCTGCAGAGTCACTCAGCTTCGCCCCAGAAAGGTTTGCATTTCTGTTTGAGGTCATGGGATCATAAATGTACAGTATGAAAATATATTCTTAGGTTCTAGTAGTTAAGAATCTTCCTGATCAGGAGTCAGCAGCAAGCATAGAAGGTGAGCTCCATGATGCATGAGAATCTGCTCACTGTATTTTGCCCACTGATATATTCCAAGTGGCATGAGAATGGTGCCTTCCACATACAGGCATTCAATGGTATATATATTAAATGCCAAGTATTGTTAGGTATGATCGTAATGATCATTATTCTCAACCACTCTATGACCTTTATCTTCCTAAGCACATTCTTGGGTTGCCTCCACATCAACCAAGATGCTGTGGTCAACTCTACTAACAGGAGACAATTCCCTTGCTCTTTTGGCCATGGAAATGAATTGGTTTCCTCTAAACCATCCACACCACACCCCACACTTGGGTTCCTATGTGAACACTGGTGATTCACGTATAACTTTGGCTTTATTAGCACGCACAAATTGCTAATTAGACCACACTTACCTGGCACTCAAGACCTTCTGCCCTTTTGCCTCTATCTCTAGGATGCAAAGGAGGAGTACATGGTGGTTTTTTCTCCTGGAAAAAGAAGTATTTTCTCAGACACGTGGTGGATTGCTCATCTTCTTATCTATAATACCTTCATCCACCTCACTACTGGTTCAGCCCACCTGGGCTCCAGGTCCTGCAAGGTGCTCCCAGTTGCTTTCCTCATCACTAACTATGATTTTTCCTCTCCCAGAAAAACCCATAACACTCTTGTCCTCATACTTTGCATGATGGAGTGAGCTCCAGACCTGAATTTGGTTCCTGTTCTACCACTTCCTAACTCTCTGACCCTGGGAAAAATTACATAAGTTCTCCGAGCACCAGCCTCCTCATCTATAAAACAGAAATAATAATAGTTACTTTAAGAGTGTTTTAAGGAGGGAGGCACCTGTTACTCAGTGGATAGGGCACTGGCCACATATACCCAGGCTGGTAGGCTTGAACCTGGCCAGGGCCAGCTAATCAATAATGACAACTACAACCAAAAAATAGC